GTTTAAAACATATCTCTATAGATGTTATAAATATGGAGATCTGACCCATCACCACCTGAAACCAGATCAGAGGAAGTTCTAACCACGGAAGCTTTAACCGTGTGCGGTGGCGGTGGCGGCGGTGGCGAGGGTTGGACAGGACAGACAAAGGGCATCCCTGTCCCGAGCCTCCTGCTGTGTGAGCGCTACATGAATAAACCATGAACCGCCTTCGCCTGGAGCGCTAACTCCTGCTGGTCAGGGGCCCCTCCCAGACCTGCTCTGACTCCTGCTGGTCAGGGGCCCCTCCCAGACCTGCTCTGACTCCTGCTGATCAGGCCCCTCTCCCAGACCTGCTCTGACTCCTGCTGGTCAGGCCCCTCCCAGACCTACTCTAATTCCTGCTGGTCAGGGGCCCCTCCCAGACCTGCCTATGTCACCAAACACCTCACAACAGAACTATACCAGTCACACAGCCACTTATACAATCTTTTCTACTGTCTCTTCAATTGCACTGCTAAATGTCTATTGTGTGTACTTTATACTTTACGACTTACATAAAACAGATATTTGAAGATGTTTTATAAAGATATTTTCATTTTTTTTACCTGTGTTTACCCTTAAAGCTTGTTTGCAGCTTGAGCCAAAGAAAATTCCTAGTTTGTGACTAGGAATAAAAATAATTCAAAGAAGCTAAAACTTAAAGAAATATTACTTCAAAAAACCATTTTCAATATAGTCATTGGGACGTATCAAGACGATTCAGGTTTGAAATCAATTTGGAGACTATGTAAGGACTTCCTGGTGAGATCCTCAACAAATCCAATACGGAATATCCATCCATCCATTTTCTTCCGCTTCATCCATGCCGGGTTGCGGGGGCAGCAGTCTAAGCAGAGATGCCCAGACTTCCCTATCCACACGCACTTCCTCCAGCTCGTCCGGGGGGACCCCAAGGCGTTCCCTGGCCAGCTGAGAGACATAGTCCCTCCAGCGTGTCCTGGGTCTTCCCCGGGGCCTCCTACCGGTGGGTTGTGCCTGGAACACCTCCCCAGGGAGACGTCCGGGGGGCATCCGGAACAGATGCCGAGCCACCTCAACTGGTTCCTCTCGACGTGAAGGAGCAGCGGCTCTACTCCGAGCTTCTCCCGTGTGACCGAGCTTGTCACCCTATCTAATGGAGGGCCCAGCCACTCTGCGAAGGAAGCTCATTTCGACCGCTTGTTGCAGGTCCTGGTTCGTTGGAGCCAACAGGACAACATCGTCTCCAAACAGCAGAGGAAATCCTGTGGTCTCCGAACCGGACCCCCTCCGGCCCCTGGCTGTGCCTAGAAATTCTGTCCATAAACACAGTGAACAGAACCGGTGACAAAGGGCAGCCCTGGTGGAGACCAACATGGAACAGGTCTGACTTGCTGCCGGCAATGCAAACGCAGCTCTGGCTCCGGTCATACAGGGACCGGACGGCCCTCATCAGAGGACCCCCTGCACTCCCGAAGAACCCCCCGGGGTGTCCAATACGGAATATTTACAACAAAAATGGGAGGGAACACAAATACTACAATGTCAACTTAGTGCTGTTCAGTGATAGATCTCAGCTTCAGATTCACAGAGAGGTCTTCAGGCTGGAAATGTCTCCCCTGTCTCCAATCACTCTCTAATGGACTTCAAAATATGTCTGAAATATAAGATTTATTAAACAAAAGTGACCGGAACAGGTTTTCGTCTGTAAACAAGCTATGTGAGACCATGTTCACCACTACTACCACTACCACTTCTACTACCACTGCTACAACTACCACTACGACCTTGTTTGTGGCCACAGTACCATCAACATCACTAACATTCTGGAACCCAAACCCGTAGAATATTAAGTATTGATAAATCCTTTACAAACTGAGGCCTGTGCAGGGCAGGTGCAGGTGAATAATGCAGAGTCATGTGATCCGGACTCTCGGGTTTCTCAGCACCTGCTCCCAGCCCCAGACTCGCAGAGGACAGACACTGACACAGGTGCTGGCACAGGTGCTGCTACCTGCTGCTAACGCTACACCGCAGACAATAGGCTTACCCTGGTTACCGTGGTTACCATGGGGCAGGGATGGTAAGGATAATAACTCATTCGATGACATAAGGCCGTCTCTCGCTCTCATATAACATTTACTCATATGTATTCATCCCATACACACTTTAACCATGTGTTATTTTAGTGACAGACTTCTACAAAGTTCACAGCCCACAGTGAGATTTAATTGTTCTAATCCTTAATTTAAAAAAAATAAAAAAACATTGGTGGTTATGTGTAGAGCGAAGTAGCAGCTTATAGCATATATAGATATTCTTGTGTTTCATGAACCTGGCTTGTAGGGGGCGCATGAGCAGAGATGGGACAGTAAAACCATGTAAAGTCTCTTTTGGAGTCAAACGGCTCTCCTCCTGTGCGGTGTACGGTTGTTGGAACAGTTAATCGGGGACACTCAATTCTAAGGCAGTACTAACAAATATTTCTCAAAAGATTCTTGATATCGGGCATTTTTGGAAAAAATATCAGAAGAAATTGCTGCGTTTCATTGGGGTGGCCTCCAGGGGGCGCTTATCTGGGAAAGCCTTGATCCACCTCGCCCGCTTCATTCCAGTGATTTTTTCAAAGTGTCCTCCTTTATATGAGACCACAGTTGGAACATGAACAAACTCTTGTCTTTCTCTCTATTTGTGCGGTTGCTACAAGCGTACACCGCACAGAAAGATGGCATTTTGACAGAGCTTCTTCTAATAAATCTCCGTGTATAAACCCGGCAGACTGAACCGCCAGGATACGTCACGTCCTGTCCTACGTTTGTTATTCACTGCCCTGACGTCATATGAAACACAAGAATTACGGTACATGGACTTTATAAGATAGGATAGCCCTTTTCATCCCACAGAAGGGAAATGTCATGCCAGCAGAGTAAAAAGAAGGAAAAAGACTCAGATTGCATCACACAGGATCTATTATTTAAGATAATAGATAATAAAATAATAAGCAATAATAGAATAAAATATATTCTGGAGCTATAATTGCACTTGGTTTGGAGGTATTTACAGATGTGTATGTTCTACTTATAGTAATAATATCAGCAGGTAAAGTGACTAATGACAGAAATATCAAATGAATGAATATTTAGTGATGCAGCAATAAAAAATAAATATATATACAGCAGGTAAAGTGACAAGTGAATTATCAGAACAAGTGAGTGGCACATGTACAGACTGTTCAGTTCTCGTTGTACAGTCTGACACACACAATATTTAGCTTTGTGTGGAGAGAAGACACGCCCTAAACTAGTTCTGATTGCTGTAATGAAACACAAGAACGCTCTGTAAACATGAACTACTCTTTACTGTTAACATTAATATCTATCCATCTTTACATATGTCCACTTCCTGTTCAGCCTCTTTCGTCTCCAAACCATAGACTGTAAAAATTAACGGACGTAGTCACGCCTATCTCCGCTGTTCTAACTAATGGGCCAAAAATGTGCTCTACTGGAGCTATCCAAAATGGCCGCGAGTGGTCCCGCCCACAAGAAAATTGTGAAAAAACGCATCTGCCCATGCGTCAGCCGGCGAGAGCTCCATTCATTTGAACGAAAGACTTCAAAAATTCACAGCAAGTAAACTAGAGTGGTCCAAAACACTCCCCTCAGCATTGGCACACATGTGGAACAGAGCTTTGGGCCAGGTCAGCTAATGCTATATGTTAGCATTGGCTAATTCTTCTTCTGGGTCCACCCCAAGCCCCGGCGATCCAAGATGGCGCCCTATTCAAATGAATGGTTGTGCTCAGTGGCGCTTTGTGACAGCATGGGGGCTGAAAGATTAGCGGAAGTTGCCTGGAACTCGCAAAGATCTATGGGAAACTCGCCTGTATTTGGGCATCGTCTGGTCCTCCCGGTTCTGTGCAGTGGATGATCTCCCATAATGCGTTGCGCCAAACACGCGTGTGTGGGTCTCACACCGGGTCTCACGCACGTGCACAGAGGGGCTCGGCCGCGCTCTGACCAATCAGAACAGTTCATCAGAGCGGGAGTTAGAGCGAGAGCCAGACGAGCAGAGTTTGTGGCACTAAAGTGTGGATTTAAACAAAACCAAAGGATTTAAGAAGAAAAAAAGTTCAGGATGACAAGGGACACTAAAATCCCCACAAAATCCGACCTTTATGAAACCTGTAGGTTCTCTGTCAGCTGAGGTTGAGCTGTTTTAATATGCATTGAGTTCTATGGGGAAAATTTCTGGGTAGCCCACGTGAATTTAGTCTGGTTCAGTCTGCAGTACCGCGAGAATCCCCTGAGCACGTGAGTTATTCAGCTACAAGCTAGTAATACCCTATCCAGTTAATATAATAGATCCATGGTCCACCCCCATCGGCCCGGGGTGGTATTGCAAGCATGTCAGCGAACACCATTTTGGCCACTTTTGAGCCGGGACCCGCCCCCCACTGCTCCAAACACAGAAGAAGAAAAGCGTTGATGGTTTCATTTGGTTAATGTCAACCCCACAGCGGGAGTTAGAGCTGTAGGTCTAAGGTTGCCCTGAGCTCGGTCATCAAACTTAGATGAGGGTAATGACAGAGGAGCATCAGGTGATCTCTGAGACAGACTAAACAGACTGAAGGAGGCGGGTGAGGGCGGGGGGAGGTGGATGAGGGCGCCTCCTCTCTCCTCCTCTCTCCCCTCCTCTCCCCTCCTCTCCCCTCCTCTCCCCTCCTCTCCCCTCCTCTCCCCTCCTCTCCCCCCCTCTCCCCTCCTCTCCCCCCCTCTCCTCTCCTCTCTCCTCCTCTCTCCTCCTCTCCTCCTCTTTCCTCCTCCCTCTCCTCCCCTCTAAAAAAAGTCTTCTCAGATCGGAAATGACTAACCGCAAAAGCTACAGTTAGCTTTTGTTTACCTCTAACTTAACGTGATGTTACTTCACCATGAGGTCGGGGGTTGGTGAGGGTGGGGGAGTTGGTGAGGGGAGTTTAGTATTTGCTAACGTTTACGTACCAGCGTGACGGGCAGGAGGATGGTGAGCAGCGCGATGTGATGCAGCACCAGCAGGAACTCTCTCCTCACGAACGAGCCGATGGTCCGGAGCGAGTGCTGCTGGTACTCCTCGTGGCCTTTGACCCTGAAGCGGTGGTAGTGGCTGAGGTACATGGCCACGATGTCATACGTCATGTACGGGACGCCGTAGTACACCACGAAGTCTGTGGCCAGCCAGTGCCTGCAACACCACATTTATGTCAGGACCATTTCACAAAAGTCACAGAATATGCTCTGCGTCTTGTTTCTTCATCAAGTTGTTTTATTTGAGTATCGAGTTATAGTACATTTATCTTGTGCAGCGTGCTCCTCATTCTACTGTTCTGTAGCTGCTAGTACAACACTGAAATTTTCCCACAGTGGGACCAATACAGAATCTCTTCATCTCTTCAACAACAAATAATAATAAATCATTTTCATAGTTATTTTTTGGACGCGCAATGTCTCTTCACATTATTATTCTTTCTCTCAGTGGTGATAAACTACTACTTTGGGGCACACTGACAGACCATTCCACCAACCTCACGATACGATACAAAGCTCACGATAACGATAATATCACGATAACGATATTACGATAACGATTTTATCACGATATGACGATTATTGATATATTGGTCAGAAATATACAATATGCCAATTTATGGCATAAATAAAAGAAAAAATACTCTATTTCATGATAAATGGAATGGAGATGCGTAATGTAGCCATATATTAAGTATTGATACCAATTAAAAAAAAAGTTTTTTTTTAATTTTTTTTATTGATATTGATACTTGGTAAATGCATATCGATAATCGAATCGCGGGAGAAAGTATCGCCCACCCCTAGTGTGAAGTGAAGTGTCTTGCCTAAGAACACAACCACAGTCTGGCACTTTACAGCCGCCCCACTGTGTCACCTGGTGTTCACAGATGTCTCCCATCACAGCACTAACCAGGCCATGTCCTGCTTAGCTTCAGTGGTCTTTATTAACGCATTGTGTAAATATATAAACATATGTGCAGCTTGCAGAGGTAAATATGTAAAATCCTTCTGTATTTCATTATTTGTTATTATGAAAAATTATAGAAAGCGTAGTATGACGGTGATAAACATCATTGTACGCTGCTAAAATATTATATAAGAGAAATCTATTGAATCAAACTACTTCATATCAAGTTCAGAATTATACTAAATATCCTTTAAAAGTCCTGTATTTCTGTATATTTCTCTGGATCTGTCACTTCTCGGTGTTTGGACGCATGTGTTTGAAGCGTTTAATATTATAATCTGTATTAAAACCATTTATCAACCATGGTTCTATTATAATAACTGGAGAGGGTATTACTAGCTTGTAGCTGAATAACTCATGTGCTCAGGGGATTCTCGCGGTACTGCAGACTGAACCAGACTAAATTCACGTGGGCTACCCAGAAATTTTCCCCATAGAACTCAATGCATATTAAAACAGCTCAACCTCAGCTGACAGAGAACCTACAGCTTTCATAAAGGTCGGATTTTGTGGGGATTTTAGTGTCCCTTGTCATCCTGAACTTTTTTTCTTCTTAAATCCTTCGGTTTTGTTTAAATCCACACTTTAGTGCCACAAACTCTGCTCGTCTGGCTCTCGCTCTAACTCCCGCTCTGATGAACTGCTCTGATTGGTCAGAGCGCGGCCGAGCCCCTCTGTGCACGTGCGTGAGACCTAATGTGAGACCCACACACGCGTGTTTGGCGCAACGCATTATGGGAGATCATCCACTGCACAGAACCGGGAGGACCAGACGATGCCCAAATACAGGAGAGTTTCCCATAGATCTTTGCGAGTTCCAGGCGACTTCCGCTAATCTTTCAGCCCCCATGCCGTCACAAAGCGCCACTGAGCACGACCATTCATTTGAATAGGGCGCCATCTTGGATCGCCGGGGCTTGTTATCAACTTGCAGCGGCGGCCATCTTGGATTTCAGAGGCTGTTTATCGTTTATTTTTTATTTATGGATTTTATTTTGGTCGTCACATCAACAAAGCTACAGCCCAAACATATGCAAGGTATATTATATTTAACAAAACTTTTCACTTTTCATATTCTTTACATATTTGAAACTTAAGAAGTTTTAAATAGAAACAAAGAAGCAAAGGTTTTCAAATCTTCAGTAAATTCATTCCATATTAACACTTTGAGAGAAACACACCTCGATTTCACCTTAGTTCATTCTAAAATAAATACACCTCTGACATTATAAATAATAATAAATAATCCAGTTTTTAAAGTTGTTTTTTTTGTTGATCATTCGGTCGTTCTTTACGCCACAAGTGTTTATAATAATGAGAAGAACGAGCAAAAAGAGACGGCTGTGTTCAATCTGAGGTTAGTTTCCCAGTTCTCCATCTGTGGTTGATTTTAAGAATAGAACTGGGAACAGATGAGACCCGCCCTCCCATCTGTTTTATTTATTTATTTAGACTTCAATCTACATAAAACATCAGCAAATGTCAGTAAATACTACTTCCTACATATTCATTAAAGTTTAAAGGAGGATTTTCCCAGTTTTTAGGAAAGAACCGCCCTCTCCACTTTTTGAACCACACTCTCTGGTCTTATTGGACGAGCACGTGTCACCAGAATGATTGACAGTTGGGAGGACCAATAGTGATGATCCACCCGGAAGTAGAACAGGCTGGGACTGGTCAGAAATTACCGTTTATGACCAAATCTAAACCAAATGTAATCACTAAAAGTATTTGGGTTTTTTTCCACCAGACAAACGTAAGATTCAGATTCATTTTATTAGCCATGTGCAGTATAAAAACTACACTGGAATACATTCGCAAAAAAGGTACTCTCTGTGCACCGACAGAATAAACCACTAACTTATTATCGCAAGTTAGTACTGTTATTTATATAGCGCATTTTACAGACCCAGGTCACCCAAAGCACTTTACAATGTCCAGAAATCAGATATTTTTCCATTCACACGCGGTGAAGACGGAAGCAAGACGCCGAACACACTGGTCCATCAAAGCCTCCGACCAAACATCATCCATTCACTCACTCATTACAATCATACGGAGCACCCGGAGGAAACCTACACAGACACGGGGAGAACATGAAAGGACCCCCGTGAAAAACGGGGTGGTTCTTCTTTTCAAGGGGCTATCATTAAAGGGCCCATATTACACTTTTTGACTTTTCTCTGGTGTAAACATGATTACAGCTATTTGGCCTTCATGCCCAGAGTAGTTTTTTCATTGATTCCGTTAAGCTTTAGTTAGAGAGCGGTCTTTCTCTTTCATTCTCTAGAAGCACAGAAACGAGCTGATTCAAATCGTGACGTGGCACAATCCGTGATGTCAAAAACAATTGACAGGTGGAGAAACTGAACCAGCGAATCAGCGCAGTCTATGGTCAGCTGCAGCCTCTAAGTCCAGCGCCTGCTCCATAGACAGTAAATAACCGTCTGTACTTTTCTGTGTTAGCTTCATGTGGCTAAAGTGTTAGCTTCATGTGACTTGGAGAAAATGTGTTGTTGGGCAAATATGTGACAAGAGTATTTGGGCGAAGACGGAAAATGGGGATAGACTTTGTTAACGGGGATCTGCCTCGTATCCGCAAGTCTGAAATCCACGGCAAAACTCGCAACTCTTTTTTTGCGAGTGACGGTAAGTAAGTAAGTAATCTTTATTTATATACCGCCTTTCTCAGACCAGAGTCACAAAGCGAGTTACAATTGTTATTTTTGAGCATTTGTCTCTCACTCCACAGAGATGGGGGGGCCAGTACAGGAGGCACAAACCTATCGTACATGTTTTTAGTGGTAGGGCAAATCGGAGTACCTGGAGGAAACCTACGCAGACACGGGGAGAACATGCAAACTCCACTCAGAAAGCCCCTGTTCCGACCGGGATTCAAACCCAGGACCTTCTTGCTGAGAGGCGAGAGTGCTATCCACCGGTGGCTTTGGTGGCGGTGACACCAAAGACTGTTCCAGAACTACGGTCACCTCGAAACGGGGCCGATTCCAAAGCTGATCTGGAAACATGGTGTTATTTTCAACATAAAAGACGCTAACGGGGGCCTCTATGAGTACAATGATGCTAACTCGCCGTGTGTCACTGTGAACTAAATAATTATGGTCTGATTCTGGGTCGAGGACATAGGGCTCTATGATGGGCTGGGGGAGGCGGGCTCACAGGCAGAGGAGCACTGTCATCAGCTCTATGCACAAAATGGATATAATTTGTTTTGAGTGTTTCGATGTGTATCACCCAAATTATTATCACACATGTGCAGAGGATGGACTGTGAAAAATTAAGAAAAGCGAAACATGGCACCTTTAAGAATAAATAAAACATGTAAACTCCAATCAGAAAGGCCATGTTCCAACCGGGATTCAAACCCAGAGAGAGCGAGAGTGCTAACCACTCAGCCACCCATTGTCTGGTATAGAAGAACCAAATCTCTAACTTTATCTCTTCTACAAAGACGAGATGAATTTTACTAAACTACATCTTATCAATGCTATCAATTGTCACTAACATTATCTTAAAGGAACAATATGTAAAAATCTGGCCAAAAGTGGTACTGCAGTCTAGGGATGGGCATCGATTTTCAAATATTCGAATAGTCGTTAAATCATAAAAAATCGAATAGTGTACCATATCTGGAGGGGGGGAAAAAATGGTATTACTGGCGGCTTCCGCACGGGGGCAGCGTACCATTTGACGATACACAGTGGCGGGCTACATGCCAAGTCGTAGAAAATTAACAAACTGGAGAAGACACGATGGAGAAATTACTGCAGCAGTCGTCAAAAAGTTCCATGTGGCGCTATTTCAAAAAAAACAACTGAAACAGAGGTACAATGTAAACTCTGCGAAGCAAAGCTTGCATATCACAAGTCTACGACAACCATGCACTCTCATATGAGAGCAAAGCACCCGTGTGAAAGCGGCGGGCCGTCGTCACAGCAACAGTCAATTGCCAGCTTCGCCACTAGAAGACGTACATGTGATGACAGACGTGCGGAGCAAACGGCGTCCCTCATCTCAAAGATGATTGCAAAAGACATGCTCCCCATCAGCTTTGTTGAAGGTGAGGGTTTTCGGAGTTTGATGGCATTTGTTGAGCCAGAGTTCTCAGTCCCATCAAGAAAAACCATTACAACCAGACTTGAGAAACTTTTTGATGATAAAACAAG